GTGATGCACACACAAGGGACAGCCTACTAATTCCTTCTTACCTACAAACAGGTGTTTTATGGCCTTCAGAAATTGTTTCAGTGCATTGTGTTAAGTGCTGGAGAAATGTATATACGCACATACTGTTTTAGGATTTTCACTAATTCCCAGCTGCAAGAAAATACCAAATGAAGGACAAAGCAAATCCATCATGTTGCTGATGAACACAAAATCATACACCCCTAGAGACCTGCAGGGATGCATTTGTTTGGTCGGGTAGCAAACGGGATGCCCTCCAAATGTTACTGGACTATCATTACCACCATCTCTGACTAGGTATGGGGGAGAAATTTGATTTAGGTGATCCTACCAAATCTGCACATTCCAAAATAATACGCGAATCAAAACCTTCACAAATCTCTGAATTTTGCATCCGGAGTTCGCCAGCTAAGTAATGTGTACAGAAATGCATATAGTAGGGGAGATATGTGCATAAAAAGTTATACATTTGTGAAAATAATGTACACACCTTCATTATATTGCATTTGCTTTGCAAAAATGTGCATATTGGGCAAAATTGCAAAAAAGTGTTTTTTTAATTATTCAAAAAGTGCTTAAAAAAAGAAATGTGCACTAAAAAACTCATTTTCATAAGGACTTTATTTTAATTCAAATTGCTGCAGAAATGTGGAAAATTGAATTTAAGATCAGAAGAGTTAGGTATGGAGAAATTCAAAGCGGAGCTATCCATCCATCCCTATCTTTGACCACTGGCCATACTGACTAGCAATGTTAGGATTTGTACTCTAACAATATCTGGAGGGCATCACATTGGCTACGCCTTGGCTGGCATATGCGGAATAGTCTTATGGAGAGTTAGTTAGACCAATGGTCCATGTAGCTCAGTATTGTCTGCAGTGACTGGTGGGAGCTATCCAGGGTTTTAGACCGTGGAGATAACGGGTATTGAACCTAGTGACTTTTGCAGGCAAAGGATGTGCTCTACTGCTGAGTTGCAGCTTGAGCTCAAAGGGAATCATGATGCAGAAATTCAACCCCATGGCTCAGCTGTATTTTCACATGGCTTCCACCATCACCACTCTTGTCTTTGAACCGGAAGGGCAGCAGAATGGTTTAGCAGGTAGTTTTGGAAAAGACGAACAATTTTTCCTGTTGTTTGAATTCTGCTTCCATATTGGCATGACTTCTTAGTGGATAATTATTGTGTGTATTTATTAATGTGATATCTTTTGATGAGCCTATTCATATCTATATGACTATTTAAGTTTTGTTAGTGTGTTTTGCAGTTGTGAGTGGATTATCTTGAAATGTTGCCATGTCTTATAATGTGAACTCTTCTGATACCATGAGCTGGCTTGAGCATCGGATACAAAGAAACTGATGACACGGACATCATTTTACCCCACATATCTGCTGGAGGAGGGCTGAAGCTCAGTCACAGAGTGCCTGGCTGTGCAAAATGTCCCGGGTTCAATCCTCGACATCTCCAAGTCAGGCTGGGAATGTCTCCTCTCTGAAATCCTAGAGAACTACTGCTTCCCAGTACAGTCATACCTTGGATCCCGAACGCCTTGGTACTCGGACGTTTTGGCTCCTGAACGCCCCAAACCCGGAAGTGAGTGTTCTGGTTTGTGAATGTTCTTGGGAACCTGAATGTCTGATGGGGCTTCCATGGCTTCCAATTGGCTACAGGAGCTTCCTGCCGCCAATCAGAAGCCGAGCTTTGGTTTCCAAACATTTTGGAAGTCGAAAGGACTTCTGGAACGGATTCCGTTCGACTTCCACAGTATGACTGTACAATACTGTGCTGGATAGACCAACAATCTGACCCCGGAGATGGCAGCTTCCAGTCTGCCAATTTCTCCTCCACTGTTGACAGAATAATACAGACAACCAGCTCACAAATTTAGATCCTTGTACACCACTGTTGAGTTCTCAGCATATAAATGGCAATCTACATTTACTGGAGGATAAGTTTCTTTCAGTGTTATGGTTGGAAGCACTGCTGATGGCTACAAAATGAAAGCTCTCTTTGTGAAATGTCCTCCCCAAAAAAGCAGCCCAATGAGAACTCATCATTCTCAGTGGCCATGGAATACTGTGAGTGGTAGTAGTGGAAAACCAGGAAGGGAATAGGAGTGGAACACAATGGAGTGTCCTGGGAAAGGGCGTGTCTTATTGGAACCCTGAACATTTTGTTGATGATTGTAGCTATACTATGATTAGCTCTGTGTTTAGGGGTAGCAGAGATTCAAACAAGTTAACACATAGTTAAGTAGAACATCTGCCCCACCTTCTGCCTCAGTAATTTTCAGTGTGGTATCTGCAATACCAGACAGAAAAATCCAGTGCCTATAGAGACAAAAAGCTCTTCATTTCTTTTGGATTTTTAATGCATTACAGACAGCTCTGGTGATATTCAGCCCTGTTGTTCCGAAGCTTGACTAGCTCTATTACTGTCCCTTTCTGGGTGCTCCTTTCTCAAAATTCCTCTTTTGGGGGTCTTAAATACACAAAAGCAATCATCTCTGCCTATGCTTTCAGACTAATTAGCAAATTCAACACAAGCCAATAATTGGAACGCGAGTATTAAGCATTTCTGCAGGGGCAGTGCTTCAGAAGAAACACGGTTTGCCAGGAGCAAATGCCAAAAGGGGGCAAATGCAAGGGGCAAAATGTCTTGATTCACAAACTGGACTGTGGGAAAGTTGTGCATTTTAAGAAAGTTAGCGGCGTTGACTTTATATTACTAAGAAGAGCCACAGCAGTTCTGATATCAAGATCTACCAAGATGAGTGGGATCCACTGGATCACTGGATCACTGGCTGGGGGCATAAGTCCCCATCCTCACCTCAGCTGGAGAGACCAGGATATCTCTTCCACACCCAACTGGCTCAGCCAAGCCCTGTAGATCTAAGGTGGTATAAGGGGCATTCCAAGGGTGTAGCGGGCTTGGGACCAAAAGGGGAGAGATTTAGGGTTGATCCTAAACCGCTTCAGATCAGTCCCATGACCTGACAACTCAGCATAACTTAGTATTGCAAAAACAGTGCTGTAATTCAAACCTCACTCGCTGGATCATTGAAAGATTCCATCAACGGTGTCTCCAAAAAATTTTACACATCACCTGAGAAGACAGGCGAACTAATGCGAGTGTACTGGAAGAAGCAAAGATCCCAAGTGTTGAAGCAATGATTCTTCAACATCAATTTCGTTGGACTGGTCATGTTGTGCGGATGCCTGTTGATCGTCTTCCAAAGCAACTACTCTATTCCGAACTTAAAAATGGAAAGTGTAATGCTGGTGGTCAACAAAAGAGGTTCAAAGACTCTCTCAAGGCAAATCTCATGGCAGTTCCAAACAGTGCTTAAAGTCCACAGGAGTATCTGGAGTTAACCATTTCAGTCCAAAGCAGAGCCTCAGGGAGGGAACTGAACAAGAGAGCTTACACAAGTAAATAGAAAACCACTTAAAATAAAATAAAATAAACACCTTGTGAATATGGTTAATGCTGGGGGAATAGGGGGTTAAAGAGACACTATTAAAAAAGCCATGAGTGATAAAGTTCTAGAAATGTGGGTATTTGATTCAAATAACTTGTGGGTGAATGTTTCTATGTTCCTATGTAACAGATGCTGGTTATCATTTATGTTAAATTTATTTCTCAAAGAGAAGCAGCATCTCTACTTTCCTTCTGGAAAGAAAATTTCCCCCGCACAGTAGGCATGTTATACAAGAGTATGAAAACATCTGAATATGTATCATGTCAGCAAGCATGATATTCACTGCACAGACCTGGAGCATCCAAAATTGAATTTAGACAGTTTATATGTTCAGTAGGATCAGTTGGTAGTGGTTTTCCTGGGGCAATACCAATTGAGGCTAACGTGCGGGGTGGGTGGGTGGCGACAACACACATTTTGAATGCCCTTTAAAATATAATAATAATAATAATAATAATAATAATAATAATAATAATAATCCCTGAAGACAGAAAACAAGCACCACAAGAGAAAGCTTCAACCTAGTCCTGTGAGCTACTCTCAGGGAGCCATAGTTTGACTTACTTTGCCATGTGAGGTGCGCTAAGCACTTGTGCTTGTCATGAATTGTATTTCTGTTCCCACAACGTTTGAGACATCAGTTGCCTTTTGCATTGCTCCTAATTCCACCATGTCTACCAACTCAGGCTGCCTGTTTTTGAAATTGTGAATCCCAGAAGTCAGGATTAACTGTACCCAGCAGAGAGGGAAACGCCTGGTTAAATCCCTTGTCCAGATGTTGTTGTTAACACATCCTTCACCCTAAGGTCCAAGGGCAGGTTACAACATTTAAAAAAACTTGCTACAAATATTAATCTCAAGTGCCAAAAGCCAGAGTAAAGAGATGTAATAATAATAATAATAATAATTTATTTATACCCCACCTATCTGGCTGGGTTTCCCCAGTCACTCTGGGTGGCTCCCAACAGAATATTAAAAACACGATAAAACATCAAACACTAAAAACTTCCCTAAACAGGGCTGCCTTCAGATGTCTTCTAAAAGTCAGATAGTTGTTTATTTCATTGACATCTGATGGAAGGATGTTCCACAGGGTGGGTGCTACTACCAAGAAGGCCCTCTGTCTGGTCCCCTGTAACCTCACTTCTTGCAGTGAGGGAACCACCAGAAGGCCCTCGGTGCTGGACCTCAGTCTCTGGGCTGAATGATGGAGGTGGAGACGCTCCTTCAGGTATACTGGGCCGAGGTCGAGGTGCATCCAGCCTTCTTGAGAAGTTGTATAATGAAGGTGCTAGATGCACCGCTATGGGGATGCAGTTCCACAACTTCAAGTCTGCCACAGAGAATGCCCTCTCCAAGGCCACCAGCACTCCTAGCTTCTGAGGGTGGTGGAGATACCAAGAGAGTATATCCACTCCTTATAATCAGCTAATGAAAATACTGAGCAAGACATACATTTGCCAACATCATACAATTGCTTTTAAACCACACACGTACCTGTAAATCTGTGCAACATCCTTCGCTTGGATTTCTTTCAGAATCTCCTGGCTGAGGTGAGGATCGCTTGGTTTTGGAGGTGGTGGTGGGGAAGGAGGGCACCGTACGTGTCCATAGTAGCCGATCAAAACCCCCAAAATAAATAGACTCAAAGCAGTGCAAAATAGCTTAAATATCCAGCAAAAGCTGTAGCGGTTGCTCTTTGGTGGAGGCCTTGTATAATGGGAGACGTAATCCGGATCTTCCTGAAGCCTCTGGAACCTCCCTTTGGGAGATGCCGATGGCTGGATGGGCTCCAGGTCCAGGTCCGTGTTTTGAGTAATTCCCACTTGTTGATGGACTGTCCCATCCAGACGGAAATGGTCAAAGCCGGGCTCCTCCAGTTCTTTCTCCATATCCCATTCTAGCTCCAGGGAAGTGGCTTGGAGGTCATCACTATCTAGATATTGTGCCCTCTGATCTGCGCCGACTTTGTGGTATGCCATCTTTTTACCTGTGGGTTAAAAGGATAAAGTCAACCCAAAGGCAATGAACTGTTTTAAACAGAGTTCTAGGGTGTTCTTTAATGCATTGATCAGATGCAGATTCATAAATGCCGGGAGATTTGTAGTGATCTGGTATTCTATCCTCTTTTATAAGTAGCTTTCATATTTTTAAAAAATAACTCCAAACTGTGTAACTTTTTTTATTTGGAATCCCCCTCCGTTACATCTCTGTTGCCCTTTTTGTTGCTTATTGTAGGCTTTCCTTTTTCAGCAAAGCTTTTAAGTGGAGAGTCCAGTCTGTATTGTTCATTTATTAATCAAGATTTGTATGCTGCTTAGGGGGTAACCCAAACCCAGGACTGAGTAGAGTTCAGAAAAGGTGGATCTCTGGCTGAGGTCTGCAAAGGGAGTAGAGGAAGTGAAGACACTATTTAAAAATGTGCAGGGTGAGAGCTTCTCTTATCTTGGGGTTGCTAAGATGCCAATCAGCTCCCGGCTGCCAGGTATGCTTGCCAATCAGGTCAAGGCCACTGGCATGTCTTGCAAGCATTTGAAACACTATTTAAAATTCCTGCTTAGTTTGAAAATACTAACGGTGAACTGTCCAGAAGGGAATCCCTTTTTATGACTGGCTTTCTCTGGTTGGGGAATAAGTGAAATTATGAATCTGAGAGCTCAGCCACACCTCTGCTCACCCCATGCCTAGAAAGCGTTAGTAGCCCACGTGGTTTTCTGCTTGCCCCATGCTTTCTAGACATGAGTCCAAATGGTTTTGCCTTCCCCCCTCTGCTTTCTCCTGAAAAAAACCCACTTTTTAGTGCTAAATTAGAGTAAATGTTGATCCAGGGAAAACCCAATTGCTTTTCTGTGTGGGTTTTCCTGGGTGAAAGCAGCAGCGCAAGTGGAAGTGAGGATGAGCCCCGACTGAGGTCTAAGTGTCCTGTCGTGCTCCTTCCCATTGTATCTGGTCCCCTCCAAAGGTTTTTGGACTCTGACTCCCATCAGCCCTGGCAGGCATGGCCAATGATGCAAGTTGTTGCTTATAGTGCTTCTGGGTAAAAAGAATGATTCAGGGAGGATAAAAAAGCATTTTACCAGTCATCTACCCAAGTAAGGAAGTGCTGGCTTATGTTGAAACTTCCAGGGTGACATTTCGTTCTCTTTAATTGGTCAACAAAAGCCTTCCATCTGGACAGAATGCTTTATTCGTTACCTGTATATAAATGCGCAGTTCTTGAATGTCTCGTTAATTTACTTGGAATTTGTCCTGCTGATCTGATTTAATCTCCTCCAGTTACTTGTTGGGTTCCCCCCTCCTTCGTCTCTCTCCCATTTTAAATGAATCAAAGTCACTGCCTGGTTGGTATTCTTAGCAAAATGGTTTCCTTAATGGCAGAATATGACAGTGGCAGTTCCAGGCATATTTCTATCTCAACACGCGCACCCTCAAAGTAGAACTCTGACCTCTAATCTAAACATTCAAAGTCAATTCCCTACAAATCATTTTCTAAACTGACTGCAGGGACGAGACATCGTTTTCATTCATACTTTGACAATAGACATTCCATCACATAAGCAGCGGCAATTTAACGCTTTTCAAACAGCAGACAGACCCATCAATTAGAATGAAATGCAGATACAGATATTAACTCCTCAATGTGACGGGTATCTGACTGACACCCGCATCGCGGCCTCCTCCCACTCCTTGTTACACATTAATAAATTTTCTTTATCTAAGATCCATCTTCCAGATAGCGTTTTCTGGGTCACATATTGGATGAACCTACTTATATGCGGCAGCACAGAGAGGGAGTTGAGCAATCGTATTTGAAAACTGGAGAAAGGAGATTACAAAATACTCCAAAATGCAGATACAGCCCACTGTATGTTAACACAAGGGAGGGAGGGAGAGAGGGCACCCTATCTAGATCTACACTGCTCCTAATTTGCAAATCCTATTTCCTTACAAAGGATTAGCCATTTGGAGGTCCTCGCCCACCGACGGTGCCCCAAATGACATTGCTAATAGACTTGCCACCAGCACATAATAACGCTTCAATGATAAAATGTTTTGTAAACCCAGTACAGTGGTGCCCCGCAAGACGAATGCCTCGCAAGACGAAAAACTCACTAGACGAAAGGGTTTTCCGTTTTTTGAGTCATTCCGCAAGACGATTTTCCCTATGGGCTTGCTTCGCAAGTTCTTGCGAGTTCTTGCGAGTTTGTTTCCTTTTTCTTAAAGCCGCTAAGCCACTAAGCCGTTAATAGCCGCTAAGCCTCTAAGCCGTTAATAGCCGCTAAGCCGCTAAGCTGCTAATAGCCGCTAAGCCGCTAATAGCCGTGCTTCACAAGACGAAAAAACCGCAAGACGAAGAGACTCGCGGAATGGATTAATTTCGTCTTGCGAGGCACCACTGTACACACTCTTCAGTTGCTCTCCTGTCCAGTTGCTGTTGCTCATAAAGTGGTTCTATCAACATCGCAAACATCTGGGCTGTACCAGTGTTAGGAGACATATGCCAGAAAAAAATCACCAATTGCCATCACTCTAGAGTCCAGCAGTGAACAGGTCACTGAATCATAGGCAGAGGTGGTGAACCAGGTTTGGCTTTTAGCATGATAGTGGTGATCAGGGACTCAATGAAGACAAGGCTAGCAAGCAGGAAGCGGTTGAACTGGATTCCACAGTGCCAGGGCCTATACTGCTTGGTACTACATTAACCTCTCAGTTGGATTACTACAATGTGCTCTGTGTTGGGCTACCCTTGAAGTTGGCCCACAGGTTGCAACTGGTGCAGAATGTGGCAGCTAGGTTTGCTTGTGGGGCCAAACTTCTGCCAGCGTAAAACACCTTCCTTGTCAAAGTTGCACTGGCTGCCAATCTGCTACTCGGCCAAATTCAATGTGTTGGTACTAAGGCCCTATACAAGGTTCTTGAGCGGTGGTTGTGGACCAGATCCAGACACTCCTGGAGGAAACTGATTTTCTAGATCCATCTCCATTGGAGTTTAGGCCCAGTTTTGGCACAGAAACTGCTTTGGTTGAGAGAGAGACGGGGAAAATTTGTCTATGTTATTTCTCCTCAACCTCTCATTGACTTTCAATAAACATTGACCATAGCATATTTTTGTTTTCTCTTCATTGAACAAACTGTGTTCTTGGTGCAAAAGTGGGGTTGATGTTTCGAAGTGTTTTTGAGATGAAACTGAAGATACGAAAAACCCTCTCTTGCGCAAAACTTTCACAGCTTCCTTCAATCATCTCCAAACAGTTTGCCTAGGGAAGGCTCTCTGAGGAAGGCCTTATAATTTAACTTGCCCATTGTAGGCAAGTAGGCATGCTTACACCCTTGTAGACCTCTGGATTTCAGTTTACCTTCCCGCCGGAGTGGTACCTATTTATCTACTTGCACTTTGACGTGCTTTCGAACTGCTAGGTGGAGTGCAAGTAGATAAATAGGTACTGCTCCGGTGGGAAGGTAAATGGCATTTCCATGCGCTGCTCTGGTTCGCCAGAAGCGGCTTAGTCATGCTGCCCACATGACCTGGAAGCTGTATGCCAGCTCCCTTGGCCAATAAAGCAAGATGAGCGCCGCAACCCCAGAGTCGGTCCGGCTGGACCTAATGGACAGGGGTTCCTTTACCTTTACCTTTTAAGGTAGTCTGTATGGGAGTAAGGTCCCTCTTTGGGAGTATATTGCATTTAATTATGGGGTATCAGAGTTTTTAGGGGGCTAACCAGGCTGGGATAGTTGGGATAGCAGGCTTGTTGGTTTTTGAAAGTCTGATGTAGATTTCTTTTCAAATTTGTTGTTCTGTATGGGACAATGAATAGGGACGCGGGTGGATAGGGACGCGGGTGGCGCTGTGGGTAAAAGCCTCAGTGCCTAGGGCTTGCCAATCAAAAGGTCAGTGGTTCGAATCCCCGCGGCGGGGTGCGCTCCCGCTGCTCGGTCCTAGCGCCTGCCAACCTAGCAGTTCGAAAGCACCCCCGGGTGCAAGTAGATAAATAGGGACCGCTTACTAGCGGGGAGGTAAACAGCGTTTCCGTGTGCAGCTCTGGCTCGCCAGAGCAGCAATGTCACGCTGGCCACGTGACCCGGAAGTGTCTGCGGACAGCGCTGGCCCCCGGCCTCTAGAGTGAGATGGGCGCACAACCCTAGAGTCTGTCAAGACTGGCCCGTACGGGCAGGGGTACCTTTACCTTATGTGGATTAAAGAGAGCACTGGAAACATCAATTTGCAATAACACCCCATCTGTGCTATACATTTAAAGCAGTATCATAATAATTTAAGTGGCCGTGGTTTCCCCCAAAGAATATTTGGAACTGTAGTTGCTTAAGGGTGCTTAGAGTTGCAATGAGACACTTATTTTCCTCACATAACTAGAATTACCAGAGTTCCCTTTTACAGGGAATTCAGCGACAATCTGGGATAGCTCAGCTGATAGAGCATGAGACTCTTAATCTAACGGTCATGGGTTCGAGCCCCATGTTGGGCAAAAGATTCCTGCATGGGAGGTGTGTGGACTGACCAGCCCCCATGGAACTTGCCGCTTTGCAATTCTATGATTCTATTGTTAAATCACTCTATGAACTGTAGCTCTTTGAAAGGGAATCAGGGTCTTTCATAACAACTCTCAGCACCTTTGACACATTGTCACGTTCTGGTTCACGGGTGATCGAAGTCCCGGCTGGGTACGTCGGGACCGGAGGCAAGAGATGGCAGGGAGGGAGCAGGAATGGGAGTCCAGAAGCCAGGAGTCAGGAAGTCAAGAGTCTGAGGGTCAGAGAGCCGGGAGTCTAGAAGCCGAGGGTCAGGAAGCAGGGAGTCATGAAGTCAGGGGTGCGAGGATCAAGAAACAAGGAGTCACAAAGTCAAGGGTCCAAGGATCAAGGAGTCACGAATTCAAGGGTCCAAGGATCAAGGAGTCAAATGCAGCAAGGCAGAAAACGTGTTGCTGTGGCAAAGAGCCGAAGAGAAATGCTGACCTTATATCCCTTCCCGGC